ATAGTTCTTGTGACAATAAATGAAAGAAAATAATTGTTTCTGCAGCCCTACAGTGAACTCGGAGCCAAGCTGTCTGATATTGCTGTCACCGCCTACACTTCATCAGAGCTAGTTCGGTTGTGTCTTACTTGTGAGGACGAAGAAGATGATGCTGGGGTTGTGGTAAGAGCTTTCATTGTCTTGGTTAAATATTTTGAAGCTTTCTGCTTCTGTGCATCTGGTTGGTAGTGATGTAAGTTTAAACATAGATGTCACAAATAGTAGATTAAGTAGTTTACTTTTCTATCTTATCAGGTACATACTAAAGGTGTAGTTAAATAAATGAGAGAATCAGCTGTACACATATGTTGTAATTGTAACTAACTCACAGAACATGTTGAGAAAGGTGGACACAGGCATGTCCCATGCAGAGTGGTAAGCATAGCTTCAGAGGTCCCAGGTAGTAGGAGCGTCCTTTGGATAATTTCTCCAGGTAAGGCCGGTGTGTTGGGAAACGAGCAGGCAGGTAGACTGGCTGGTTCTGCACCACTTGGTGGTGAACTGATGTATGACAAACTAGATGTTGTGAAGGCCCTTGAGAACGATGGGGAGGCACAAATAGACCTTTGCAGTCTGAGGAGAATGGCGCTGCGGGGAGTTACCAGGGGATCAGGCTGGCGCTCAACACTCAAGGAAGAGGCGAGACAAATGTACAATCAATCAGACAGTCACTGGTACCATCAGAATTGGAACTCTTTGCTTACTGCAGAAGATGGGGGCGGAGCGCTTATGGGGGTATCCTGAGTGGTATGATGTCAATTCTTAATTCAACATTCAAAAGTTAAATTAATGAATCCTTCACAACTGAAATACCCCTCTCCAAAGAAACTAATTACTTCCTTTGCTTCCAGAGCCCTATTTTAGAGGAAAACAATGTTGACCACCCTCACCCCACCCTAACCAAACATGTATAATTAGTTGGAGGTGATTTCTTTGAAGTTGGAAGGCGAGAAACTGGCAGTCTGCATACAAATAAGCCAGATCTATCAAATGGCTGTGCACACAAAATTCAAGTTCTGGAACAAGACCAAAGTTCAGAAGTGGACGAACAACCAGAACTTTCTGCCAGGAGTTTACAGCTAGTGAACGCTGTTTACCATGATAACCACATCGTAGGTAAAACGTGTGAAATCTGTTTCGTCGTTTTTCCTGGTACAAGAAAGGTAGGCACATACAAGGAAGGTAACCACATTTTGCTACCCTAAGGCAGTAAAGGTGGCTGGTGTGATGCTGAGCCCATCTCTCACCAAGTGCCGATTGGTCAATAAAGTATAGATCTAGCCCGATATGCCCGATATAACTGAAGGTGTGGAAAAGGGTCCTTTACTTTTTAGTAAAGATTAGTGCTGAGAACACAGGTTTGATAGCCAAAAGTTTGTTTTTTTTTAACCGTGAGCCTGCTAGTCACCCTTAACTTTTTTTTTTTTTGCATGTGTGAATCTACTCGTTGATGCAATAACAGATCTATTCCTAATTCTTTTTAGACAGACAGGCCTTAGCCGTCCACACTGTTTATGTCTAAATTGTTCTTAATGCCTTAGCTACACACAGTTTTGTGTCTAATCTGTGCTTTATGCCCTAGCCGCCCACACTGTTTATGTCTAATCTGTTCTTTATGCCCTAGCCGCCCACACTGTTTATGTCTAATCTGTTCTTAATGCCTTAGCCACACACAGTTTTATGTCTAATCTGTGCTTTATGCCCTAGCCGCCCACACTGTTTATGTCTAATCTGTTCTTTATGCCCTAGCCGCTCACACCATTTATGTCTAACCTGTCTTTACGCCCTAGCCGCCCACACTGTTTATGTCTAACCTGTCTTTACGCCCTAGCCGCTCACACCATTTATGTCTAATCTGTGCTTTATGCCCTAGCCGCCCACACTGTTTATGTCTAATCTGTGCTTTATGCCCTAGCCGCCCACACTGTTTAAGTCATATAGTTTTTCTCCTGTTTATGCAGCCTGAGGAACATATCACCTTACTGAAGGATGCTGAGTTTTACCAGCTGGATGTTGAGCAGAAGCTCAGTTTGCTCCGAGGCTTGTGCGCTCGTGTGCTGGCCACTTACTCAGTTCAAGACTACATGGAAGAACAGCAGCGGAATGCAAATACCCTGATGTAAGTGCTGTCTGTTTGAAGCCTGTTGTCTAGGTAATTGAAATCCCAGGTCTGCAGGTGCCTTCTGCTGGCTTCTAAAGGCACCACCTGTGATGAGTTAGAGGCTCAGTATGTGTTAGTGAGGTTAAACAGTGATGATTCCTTGGGTGAGCCCATTACCAGAGCACCATGTATTGACTCTGCATTTTTATGGAAGCCTTCTTGGGGGGGGGGGGGGTTGTTGGATGCTCATGTTCTGCCCCTGTCTTTGGAGAGCTGACCAGCATTACGTAGCTGTTTAGACTGGCCTGATTAGAGGCGCCACCTGTGAACTACGAGAAACAAAAATGAGACTGCAGTGTCCCACAGAACTAATCGAGAAGGCTAACCCAGGCAACAAATGTTTGCAGAGGTCTGCTAAACGGCGCAAATATTGCAGCCATGGAGTTAACGAGCACACTGCATTTACATCTTTGGCTGAACTCAGAAGAAAAATATATGTCCCTTTGGCAGAGTAGTTAAACATTTGCCTTGTATACTGAAGGTTCTGGAGTCAGTTTCACACCGGGTGAGATGCTGTTGATCAGGTACGGTTAAGCTTTTTTTTTTAATCAGTGAAAATTCCTGTCAGGTTTGGAAATAAACCATGTCTGCTCCTGCCATAGCCTCTTTCTTATCTACCCTTCCACTTCTTCTGCCCTTTTTTCTCCAATGGAGCCTAGTCTCTGAATCAACGCACGCCAGGTGGTCCTATCTTATTCCCCAATGAAGCCTAGGCTCTCAATCAGCTCATGCAAGGTCGTCCTATCTTATTCCCTAATGGGGCATAGGCTTTCAATCAACTCATGCCTTTTCATCCTATCTTATTCCCCAATTGAGCCTAGGCTCTCAATCAACTCATGCCTTTTCATCCTATCTTCATTCCCCAATGGAGCCTAGGCTCTCAATCAGCTCATGCAAGGTCGTCCTATCTTATTCCCCAATGAAGCCTAGGCTCTCAGTTAACTAATGCCAGGTCATCCTATCTTATTCCCCAATGAAGCCTAGGCTCTCAGTTAACTAATGCCAGGTCGTCCTATCTTATTCCCCAATGAAGCCTAGGCTCTCAGTTAACTAATGCCAGGTCGTCTTATCTTATTCCCCAATGAAGCCTAGGCTCTCAGTTAACTAATGCCAGGTCGTCCTATCTTATTCCCCAATGAAGCCTAGGCTCTCAGTTAACTAATGCCAGGTCGTCCTATCTTATTCCCCAATGAAGCCTAGGCTCTCAGTTAACTAATGTCAGGTCGTCCTATCTTATTTCCCAATGAAGCCTAGGCTCTCAGTTAACTCATGCCAGGTCGTCCTATCTTATTCCCCAATGAAGCCTAGGCTGTCAATCAACTCATACCTTTTCATCCTATCTTCATTCCCCAATGGAGCCTAGTCTCTGAATCAACGCACGCCAGGTCGTCCTATCTTATTCCCCATTGGAGCCTAAGCTGTCAATCAACTCATGCCTGTTTGTCCTATCTTATTCTTCAAAGGAGCCTTGGCTGTCAGTCAAATCACGCCAGGTCATCCTATCCATTGCTTTGCATGCAGCTCACCCTATATCCTCTATATCTTTTTATGTTCACTCTCTGGTTTCCTTCTCCATGTGTTTTTTGGTGTGCCTTCATCTAAGACATTCTAGTTGTCTTATTCTAAGATTTTCTTATTGTGTATCCTATCCAACATCAATGTCTTTTCTTCATCACTTGATTTAGTTGGAATTTTAGTTCTTTTGTAAACCCCCACAGTAAATTGACTTGGCTCCCAGGCCGACCCCAGCCTTCAATGGGTACCAGGTAAAATTCTAGGAAGTAAAGACAACTGGCGTGATGTTGATCACATCACCCACAGAGTGCCGACAGGTCTATAAAGTATAGCCCTAACAGAAGATGCGGAAAATGGTAGTCTACTTATTTTGTTTTTTAAAACCCCCACATTAGTGACCCTAACCAACCATTTAATTCCCTCTGTTCTGCGCAGGCACCAATTAATAAATTAATGTACTTTATTAGTAATTGTCTTATTTTGTACGCTAGGTTTTAGCTACATACACCAGTACTGATTTGACGTTAGAATTAAATTTAAAATGTGAAGTTTAGTATTAGTGTTAATTTCCTTTGACTTTCATACGTTTTTTAGTGCTATGAAAACTCCTTGCTTTTTGTATTCATATTTTAAAATGTCTGCCAGGTCTTCCATCTTTATCTACATTATTGCCCAAATATCTGAATGGTGATATCATTAATAGAAGCTAGATCTGCCCTGCCTCAGATTAATTTCTGTTTTCTTCTTTTTCTTTAAGTTAGGTTTCGTATGCTCAGATCAGACCATCAGGTGGGTTACCTCAATGAAATCGCATGTCAGTAGCAGGTCCTTCATGATTCCCCATAGCTTGCTCTGCACACTTTACTCTTGAGGCTAGGTGTCTTTAAAAGTTGTAAGTACAGTGGGCAGGTCTGCAGAATGTGCTCAGGTGTTTGTGGTCCTGTTTGACAGGCACACTGTGGGGACTGTACAATCATTTATTTATTTTATGCTTATGGTAGTTGAGCCTGCAGTGTCCTGTTTGTAGACGGAAAATTGTTGTGTGTTGCTTTCTGCTGAGTCTACTGATGGGGTCTTGTGGATGTTTACTGTTAGTTTGTTCTCTCCACAATTCCTTGTATTTTCCCTTGATAAATGTTTTGATTTCTGGAAATAACAATGGATGCTTGTGTTGTTTCTCCTTTGTTCCATTTTTAGCAAGTCTGCTAACTCATTTCTATGTTTTGAATACTAACATGTATATTTAGAGTTGTCCAACACATTTTTGTCTTCACTTAACTTACAGGAAACAAAAACTGACAGAAATGAAACAGATTAATGCTATGAAAAAGTCAGAGAAACACGGCACTGGCGGAGACAAGTCTGGGGTGAGCGAAGACAGGGGTATCAAAGCTTCAGATAAGCGGTCTGCCAAGGAGGATCTTGATGACAGTCCGCGGGGGTCTTTACATAATGACAGGGAGGCTGAAGATGTGGGGGATGACGCCAGCTGGGGTTCTATCGTTAAGCGGAGGAGACATCTGGCTGCTAAAGCTGCTGCGGAGAGGGAGAAGCAGGAGAAAGAGAGACTTGCCATTCGGGAGAAGGAGCACCAGGTAGGAGAAAAGCTCTGTTTTTCCAATCCATATTTTTTATAAGTAGAACTATCTTATCCTTCACATTTATTATCAGTCGAATTCTGGATTTCTTCTTCACATTTGTTATGAGTAGAACTAGTTTCCTCCTTAACTCTAGTTTTTTCCCCATGACATTTGCTATAAGCAGAACTCTGAGTTTTTCTTTCACATTTATTATAAACAGAACTCTGGTTTTTCCCTCACATTATAAGCAGGAGTGAATGGGTATAAGGGGACCCAGTGCGAAGCCACATATAGATTTTTAACTCTTATCTAAATTTGTGGGAGCCTGTGGTCTATCGGCCATGTGTTTTTTCCAACTCCGGTTCAGAGAGTCTTGGGTTTCAGTCCGCATCAAGTCGGAATTTTTTTCTAAAGATGACCTTGCCTAAAATGGGTATCAGGTAAAGTCCTGGGAAGTAAAGGTAGGCGGCATGATGTTGACCACATCACTCATCAAGGACCAGTTAGTCTTATCATATACACTAGACTGCAATATCCGGCCTAATGTGGCAGAAGAGTACCCCCCACCCCACCCCGAGGGCAGGTTATGCCAAAGTTCTATAAATATTAAATTTCAACCCCACCCATATCATTAAAAAACATCCTTATTTTGTATATATTGTGACTTGCTCTTATTAATAGTTTCTAGCCTCTAAGTACAGGCCAGCACTTTATCAATTTTCTTACGCAGTGTACAGCACGTTTTAAACATCTGTTATGGACAAAGGAAGTCCACAGATAAAATTACTGTTCACATTGTAAGACAACATTTGTCTGACTTAAGAGCAGGGTAAACAGAATCATGTGACGCTTGCTTGCATTGACTTGGCAAAGTAAATTATTCCTTAAAAAAAAATGGTCCAGATAATTGCGACCTGGATAATCGAGGTTCTGTGTGAGTTTATCGTCTTATGCCCAAGACACCACTGACATGAAGAGTCCTTGGTTATGAAGGAATCATTTGTATGTAACCTATAAATGGTTTATTCCAGCTTCTCAGCCGTATTCTTGTTTTGCTTTTGTTTACAACCTCGCCCTGTCTTGTTTGTCCGCTAAAGGTGCAAATATTATAGCTATGCTCTAAAAAAGCACAGCCCAATTACGTCACAGGTCACATGGATGAATGATGTTTACCCAAAAACGTTCTGCAACTGCGCAAAAACAAACTGGCTGCTGAATTATTTTTAGTTTTTGTGTGTCTAATTATTATAAGGACCTAGTGTATTGTGTTTCAAAAAAAAAAAATCACAACTCCCCATTTGGTTTCTAAGCTCCCGTTGAAAGAGAAAAACAAAAAGGAACCCACTGACTAGCAATGTTGTAAAAGCTGACCAATTAGTAGTGTTTTCTTTGAAGTCAGAGCATCTGCCTGGGAGGCGAGGAACCAACAGTCTGCACAAAGATTAGCCAGATCTGTAAAATGGATGTACACATATGTCAAGTTCTGGAACAGTCTAAATTCTAGAAGTGCATGAACCACTTTCCACCAGATTCACAGCTGGTCAATGTTATAAAATAAAATGTTTAACATACCTTTATCTAAACATTTTACTTTTGTCGCATTATTTTTGATTAAAATTTATTGTTTGTTTTTTATGCTTTTTAAATTGTATTTTATATAATTTTTTTATTCTGTTGAATTAAGAATCAACATCATAGCACTCGGTACGCCCCCATAAACGCTCCATCCCCTATCTTCAGCAGCAAATGAAGAGTTCAAATTTCAGTGGCACCAGTGACTCTATATCTGTCTCACCTTTCCCTTGTGTGTTGGGCATTGGCCACATCCCCTGGTAACTCCTCGCAGCGCTATTCTCCTCAGACCATAATGATCTGTTTGTGCCTCCACTCTTGTTTACTTGCTATCAGTTCACCACCAAGTGGTGCAGAGCTGGCCAGTATTATTTTACTCTATCTCTTATCAGTACCAGTTATGAATCATTAACATTTGTATTTCTACTACTTTTTTTTTATTCATACTTTTATTTTATATGATCACTGTTAGATGTGTGATTACTTTTGTTAGCCTTCCTTTTTTTTATTTTCTCCACATCACCTTTTTCAAAATAGTTCCTCACATGACCCCTGGTGGCACTGGTGGTTGGAGTACTCTCCCCTTTGTTATTGTTGTGTAGTTAGTTCATGTTGAGAAAAGCCCCGGCGGAAATGTTGATTTGAATGTTTTGAGCGCGTTGTTCTTCTTCCCCATTTTGTTAAGCTTTTTAGTCACAGTTCACAGGTTTAATTTCTAAGTGAATGTGAAGTTTAAAAATCAGGGGGGAAACCCTTTCTTCTTCTACCATTCTCCTGACTGTACTTAATTATATCTTTGTTTGTTGTGCAGGAAGAGAAGGAGAGGGAGAAGTTGAGAAAGAAACAGGAACAAATTTCTGAAGCTATCAACCTTGCCCGGATGGTCCTCAGGCATGATCCGATTGGGACAGATCGACATCATGACAGATATTGGGTGTTCACAAATGTCACGCCTGGCCTGTATGTAGAGAAAGGTAGGAAACGTGTGTTTACTGGCTATGTGGCACTTCTTCCTTCAAAAATAGACAGGACAGTGCACACCCTACCCACACAGGACTATCGGTTACTGTGTAACCTTTGTGTGGTGCCTAGTATAATCGTGCTATGTGGCTGTGCGGTTGAACTAGGTGTCTGAGATTTGCACCTGTTATATTCTCATCCTTGTCTCTGATTTTGTTGTTCCCTTATCGTGGACTGCTATTGTTTGCGCATTTCCAACGCAGGATACTGTGTGTTTTTCATGGGAGCAGCGTGTATTGTGGTTGTGCTGTGTCGGGGCGGTATGATGACTGGATAGTTTTGGCAGGTTCGACCATGCTGCCGTCGCAATGTTTTTGTCGCAGTGGCCCACTATCTGGAAAGACAGAATCTCGTAAGCAGGGTACTGCAACTGTCTAAAGAGCAAACTCAGTAAAAGTTGGCCTATGAAATGGAATTTGTCAACATATTTATTTTTGGGTGGGGAAGAACCGACACATACGTTTAACTAGGTGACCATAGCACGTTTAACTAGGTGACCATAGCCATTCTCATCCTTGAGGAGTTAAAATTGCAGACTACCATCCTGGAGAGGAAAACCTGAACAGTACAAATATAATAGTAAACAAGTGAATTTTCTTTTCTTTTCTTGGCACCTGAGACAACAGATCATGTCCTCCAAGACTGTCCCAAATAAAACATATCAAGGCAAAACTTTTGGTCAAGAGAAACATCGGTGCAAGTCAAACTTTACGGGTCACTGAGTGAATTACAAAAGACAGTGAAGTTCATACTAGAGACAACATTGCAGATATACGTAATTTATTTCAAATGAACAAAGGAAGAAGAAGAAGATACTTTTCATAGATTTTGGCTTCCTCGTGTGTGTTGGCGGGCTAAATTCTGAGGAAGAACAAGAATATACCCTCCTGGCCCCTAACAAGCATGTTGCAGAAGTTAACTAATTAGGGGTGAGGAACCGACAGTCTGCTAGTTTTATTTTGCCTCCGATAGCACAGGTTAGGATTTTTGTGTGTGTAGTATAAATATTACATTGTATGGCAGGACTGGTCAAATAAGTTTAGTTAGGAGCAAGTATGTCGGAAATTCGGGTCGTCCTGGGCCAAAAGCCTAAGCCCCAACTTAGAAAATTCATGAGTACAGTACAGTTGGCAGCGATCCGGGGACCAGTTGCTTGGCCTCTGCAGGCCGGGTTGCCCAGCTGTATGGCATCACAAGGAATTTTTTTAGGTGGCAAAACTATTTTATCCGTATGCAGTGATTACATAAATGACCAGTCACAAACCTAGTTTTAAACCCCCCCCCCCCCCCTCTTTTTTGTTTGTGCATTTTTAATCACAAATTTTTTGTGGGGGGAGGGGGGGGTTGTTTGTTGTGGTATGGTTAATTAATTGTTGTTGCTGTACCCAGGCTGGATGGGTGAAGAGATTAACTACAGTGTTCAAAGACAAACTAAGGAAGAGAGTGAGCTGGAGGTTTCATCAGAAAGCGAGGAAGATGATGCCAAAAATGAAAATTCTACCCAGAAGTCTGTGTACAGGGCAAAAAAATATGCCATTGAGACCAGGTAAATTGTAGTTACTTGTTAATCAGTTTTAATTTCATAGCATCATGTCACCCCATAATTGCTCCCTTCCAAGCAGCAGTTATAACAAGACCAGCAACGTATGCACACATAAAAGCATAAGGCAGCCACCAGAGTGTCACCACCAACTATCCGCCACCAGAATTGTTGAACTTCTTCTTCACGTTTACCGGCTGCAAACTCCAGTGAAAAGTTCTGGTTGTTTGTCCTTTTCTGAACTTTCGTCTTATTCCATAGCCGGATTGTTGAGTGCACATCTGTTTTACAGATCTAAATTTTTTGTATGCAGTTTTTTCTTTTCTCTTTAGGCAGATGCACTCTGATTTCGAAGAAAACCCCCAGTTAGTCGACTCTTATGACATGCTTGTTGGGAAGGCAGTGGGTCTGTTCTTGTTTTCTCCACAATGGGGCCCCGGAATCCACACAGGGAAAATCGTTGACCAAAACATCAGTCATGATAAAACTAGCACCATGCACACACAATACTACATAAGGTGTATCGCCAGTTTGTTGGTTACCAGATGCACACCATTTTCCTAATATACATTTAATAAGACAAAATCATAGCATGCACAGATCAAACATTCCACATGAAATTCACAGCTCACCGTATCTCCACCTTGTACTCAACTCATTAGTAGCTCAGTGACGGGACCATAAGTAATTTGTGGTCTTCTGCCCATGTGGTAAGAATAGAACTACTGTCTTTTAGCAGTGGAACTGACCAATCAGATTCTCTTTCTTAAACGTTTGTTTTATTCTAGACACAGCATCACGGTCCCTTGTGTTTATAATAGTTGTTGTGTTTGTTATTCAACCTATGCTTAGTCAGTATAAATTTCTATAACACGTGGTGCCATTTCATTGGTTTTAAATTAATTCTGTCCGTATTCCATAATTGTGGGTGTCACGCTATACGATAGATGTGACTAATAAAGACACTTTTTTGTTTGTTCAGGAGTACCTAGTTAGTCTTGTATCTTAGTACACTTGTTTCTACAGTGGAGCGCATTCATCATTTGGAGGTGACAGGTTTGAGTCAGGCCTCAGAAATAAGATATCTGACTAAGGTGGTCCAAGTGACAAGAAGGGACAAAGTCCGCAATCAGACAATATGTCAAGATCTTGATACCCCAAGCCTTACAAACCCAAGTGGATCAGTCACAGTTACGATGGTTTAGATATATATGCAGAATATGAGAAAATCTGCCACCACAGGAGGCTAAGAACAAGGGAACCAGACCTCCAGGGTGATCCAGGGTTCGCTGGGAAGACAATGCCTGACCGTCTATAACTGACAGGACTAGAATGGAACAAAGCCAGGAAGAAAACTGCTGATAGAGATGTCTAGCGATCTTTCTGGCAAACCTCTACACCTCAGGGTAGACGAGGAGCGACTAGATAATTTTGAGCCCTAGCACAGCAACTAATAGCGTTTGATTTTTATGTTGTCTGATGTGCCCTTCTTTTTTTTTAACTTCTTTCGATGAGAGTCGATCAGTACATTGTTTGTTTGTTTGTTTATTATATATGCTGTAAAACTAGCTAATTAGGGGTGTTTCCTTTAAAGTAGTGAGGAACAAGCAGTCTGTATATAGGTAAGTTAGATCTGTAAAACAGATGTGCACACACAACTCAAGCTCCAGAACAAGACTAAAGTCCAGGATTGGGCGGACTACCATAACTTTCAACCGGAGTTTACAGCTTTTAGAATAATGTGAAACATAAGACGGGTACATTTAAAATAGTTCATCCATAATTCCACAATGTCTGGGTTTCCTTTCAGTTTCCCTCGACCAGGACAGAACTTGTGGTTCACATACAGGTCTCAGAAAGATTTGGACGGCTTGCTCAAGTCACTTCATCCTCAGGGCATTAGAGAGAGCTGGTTGAAGGCGGAAATCAAGAAACGCTATGATGATATTTCCCGGGTCATTATTCAGGTCTGTAAAATCTTGTATGTTTGAAGTGTCATACTGTGTTCACATTAGGGCTGTACCGAATACGAATAGTGGGACCAACTATTCGGCCGAATACGAATAGTGCATCATCATCAGCAGGTGCCTCGCCGAGTGGTGTAGGCTATCATGCCTATCCACAATCTGCTATCTCCTGCAGCATGTATCAATTCGTGTGCTGACACACCTCCATGCCATGCAACGAGACTGCCAAGAATCTTTTCTCTTTGTCCTCCTCTATCCCTCCTTCCACAGATCTTTTCAGTGGTCACCAAATGTTCCATTTTTCCTCTTCTCATAACATGGCTGAAAAATGACGACGGTCTCCTTCTGATGTCTGTGATTAGTTGTTTTCGGGCTCCCGCCTCTTTCAAAACCATTGTTCGCTCCACCGTTCGTTCGATGTAATTTAAACCCACCTTCATATTCTCGTTAGCAGTATCTTCAAATTTGATTTGGGCGAAGACACCTGAAAGAACTAAAAATGCATGCTCTCTCTCTCTCTCTCTCTCTCTCTCTCTCTCTCTCTCTCTCTCTCTCTCTCTCTCTCTCTCTCTCTCTCTCTCTCTCTCTCTCTCTCTCTCTCTCTCTCTCTCTCTCTCTCTCTCTCTCTCTCTCTCTCTCTCTCTCTCTCTCTCTCTCACATACACACACGCGCGCACACACACACACACACTGCGGTTGGCATTTTATGCAGTTTGTACCACGCAACAGGGTCGCAGTTTCCTCCGCTACAACAGACTTAGGCAACAGAAACTATTGTGTTAATGAAAGAGTTATTTCAGTCCATCACAGTGTATGCAGAAACGGGAGTAGGTAACCACTATTCGTATTCGGCCTTACCGCAACTATTCGGCCAAATACCGAATAGTTATTAGGTCCACTATTCGGCCCCGAAGCGAATACGAAGCGAATATTCGGTACAGCCCTAGTTCACATCATCATCATCATGTAGCAAGTCCGTAGCAGAATGTCACTCTCATAACATCATCATCATCATGTAGCTAGTCCTTAGCAGAATGTCACTTTCGTAACCTCATCATCATCATGTAGCTAGTCCTTAGCAGAATGTCACTTTCATAACATCATCATTATCATGTAGCAAGTCCGTAGCAGAATGTCACTTTCATAACATCATCATCATCATGTAGCAAGTCCGTAGCAGAATGTCACTCTCATAACATCATCATCATCATGTAGCTAGTCCTTAGCAGAATGTCACTTTCATAACCTCATCATTATCATGTAGCTAGTCCTTAGCAGAATGTCACTCTTATAACATCATTATCATGTAGCAAGTCCTTAGCAGAATGTCACTTTCATAACATCATTTTGTAGCTAGTCAGCAGAATGTCTCTCTCATTGCATCATCATCATTGTCCTATTGTGCCATCATATGTCACAACTGTTCTATCTTGTGCAATCATGATATCACTGATAGATTTCAGCCCAACACCCTTGGCTTCCCTCATCAACGTTCTTTTTCTTTATTAAAAAAAAAACAACCTAGTTTTACGTCCTCACTTTCTCAATCCTTTTTTTTTTCTTATTTCAGTACCTGCTGAGTAATTCTCTGCTGGGTTTTTTTCTCAGGATGTGTCCAAAAAAAGCACCATCTGCCTGTTGTAACTGTTTTTTTTTACCCATGGTTACCTAGATATTTCTTTTATTTCTTCAGCCCATAAAACTTAACAGTTAACAATTCCATATTTTGCTGAGGCCAGTGTGTATGATAATTTCTTTGTTTGTAACTCCTTGACTAAAAAAAATTTAATTTTAATTACATTACAGCAGTCTAGAACTTTTCTCACCTTGCGAACTTTCATGCTTGGGGTGTCCTTGATATTTTGTGCCTGTTGACCCTGGCTTCTTCTGTGAACCATACCTCCCCTTTACTGTTCTTTCTGAGCTTTTTTGGAGTTTCTTCTTCTGCCTTCACCCTTAACAGGATGGTTGTGGCATTTTGCATTGTGGTTTACAGCTAGGCTGTGTTATCTTCACTTTTCAGCCCAGCATATATGACTTAAGCCCTTCTCCTAGATGGGGTCCCGCCAGCCATAGAGTTCAGACACAGCAGTTGCCTAGGTCTTCTGCTATCACAGATAATTGCTACCTTGGTTCTTACTTTCAAATTTAATATTTACTTCCTTGTGTTGAATATTGTTGTTATGTTAACTCTGTCAGACCAACACCTGTTTGCTTTAACGTTCAAAAATACTCAACAGAAAGTGATAGACTAATTATAGTCTAATGGGGCCGATGCGGGGGTTGCAGTTAGTTTGTGACCAGGGTTTTTGTGACTGTTCCAGGCACAGAGAACCAACCTTGAGTTGAGAGATTCTGATGGTGACACAGAAATGCTAGCTGCCTTTAAGAAGGAGTTGTCGGACATGGAGCTGAGGCTTCGAAATGGAGGCCTTGGCGGCGTGCCTAACTACGACAAATGGGAGACAGAGCTGATGGAGGCCACAGATATTTCCACTCTGGTGAGTAACGCAGTAAAAAACAAGCCTTAGTGTGTAGGAGATGTAAGGTCATAGCCCAAGTTTTTATATTCTCATTATTCATTTCCAAGAATTTCAAATAGCAGACTCATTTATAGTCAAGAATAAATTCCAGTGAATAATTTTTTTTAAACATATCGGCCACTAAAAAGCTATATCTATCTTAATAACAGGATATATATATATATATATATATATATATATATATATATATATATATATATATATATATATATATATATATATATATATATATATATATATATAATGTCTCACCATAAGTGAGTTTTCAAACAAAAAAAGTACACACCTGAATGCTCCTAGGCATTAATGTGGGAAATGGCATTTGGTGGGCATGGAAGTCGGCTGCAGTAATAGTCTAGAATATGTAAGAAGCAAAGTATTCATTTTCTGTTGGTAATCAAAATCCGAAATCTGCAAGCTGCTCCTGATGGCTTCTAAAGGCATAGCTGGTGGTGAATGGAATTTTAAATAAATGGAAGTGAGGTTAAACAGTCATGAGTGACAATTTCTTTGGGTGATCTTAGTAACAGAGTACCATGTATTTTCTCTGCATTTATGGAAGCCTAATCGTTTGCAAAGATAAAAAAGGATAACTTGCACGGTGACGTTATTTTAAGTGAGGAAGAGTTGCGTAGTTCGTCGACTTTACTCTCTCGCCCGAGGATATCTAAGTCCAGTGGAAAGGTGAGTCAAGACGTCTGGAGATGAACTCGGGTGCAGCGGTCCGCCGAAGGAAACCTCATTAGATTGTGGGGAATGCTCATCTTCTGCCCCTGTGTTTTCCTGAGGGCCGACCAGTCTACACGTGGTTGCCCTGGGTGTTTTCTCCAGAGACAACACCTGTAGATCAAGGGACAAAAAAAAGACACCACACAAAAAAGGCTAGGTCATGTCCCATGAAACTATCCGGTAAAGCTAACCTGGCGAACAAATGCTCAATGCAGTTGAATGTGTCTGCCAAAAGGTACAAATATCGCAGCTATGCTGTAAATAGGTACAACACATTTATTTTACTTGGACGAATGAAAACAAGTATTTATTTCATGTATCCATATGTGCCTCGGAGCTTCAGCTGGCCAGACAGACATGTAGAAATTTCTTGTGTGAACCCAGTTGAATGATTATGTGTTTACTTGTTTGTAAATGTAACATTCTCTATACATGTAATGTACTGAGGAAGGTTTTCTAGCAGCACCATCCAATTAATTAGTTATAATGTAAAGCTCACTAGTTGTACTTTTAGTTTGGTTTGATAGTTTTTCATAAAGATTCCACATACCATTAACATTTGGTGTGTCATAGTGAGGGCTAATAGACTGCACTTGTTGGGGCATAGGGAAAGAATGGCATGTGACAGAGAGAGAGAGACTGAGATGTGACAGAGAGAGAAACAAATAAGCCAGATCTGTGAAACGGGTGTGCACGCAGCACTCAGGTTCTGGAACAAGACTAACGTCCGGAGATGGACGAACACCCAGAGCTTTCCACTGGAGTTTACAGCCTGTGAACATGAAGAAGTAAAAGGATAACATACTGTTGAACACCAAATGTTGAAGCAAGATTGCCCATAATAGTCGTCAAGGCACTTGATAATGATGATGACGACAACAATGAGAAGGACATGATTTTAAGTCTATTTTTACATTTGTGTGCATGCAGTTTTAACATTCTGCATGACCTGAACATTAAGGAGAACTGGCTCGTAAACAGCAATCTTCCGAGAAAGCTGGTGTATTCTGTATTCTTAACATGACAAGCACCTTGGTAGTCAGGAGAGAACGGTCGTGGGACCTCCGCTAATGTGGATACAAGTCATTAAAGATGCAAAAGATGCATTGGATATGAAAGCACATAGGGCCTGAGAACTGGCTAAAGAAAAAGAGACTTTGGTGCTTTATTAATATCCTACCCTAAAGGACGTCACAGGGCAGTCCAACATTTTAGAGGGTTTCCCAGCTTTCTGATTCTTTTAACAACCCCCAAACATCTAAAACTGGCCCTAACCCCAACCCAGCTATGTCCCATGAGAGAGTGCAGCCTAGGTCCCCCTACTGCATGCAGCCTATCTACCACCCTCTGAAATATTAGACTGTCACATGACCTGTGGATTTTCCCTGCTTGGGGCAGGATATTAATAAAGCACCAAGACTTTCAGGCGTGCCATAAAAAGAGCACTGTTCTGTAAAGGACAGGCTGATTGATTGATCAATTGATAGTTTTAATCCTTTTTTACATTATTTTTAAATGACCCTGGGTATGTTTTTACATTTGTATAAAATTTAAGGGTGAGTGTCTGCTGAAGGTCAAAGATGGGATTCTGGACAAGTTTCTCCAAGGTTTCATGAAACCAGTCTCCAAGGCCAGCGAAACTTCTGATGACATCAAGGAAGAGGGAGATGAGGAGAACAAGAAAATTGAAGGTATGTATGTTGGTAAGCTCACTTATGGACATTTCACTTTATCCCTCCATCAACTGTGTACCTCTCTTGTAAAGCTGTCTAGGTATTATACTTGTCAGAAGCCGCATGCCGCCAATCCACTGTTTCTGTACAATGTACAGAACATGTCCTTTCACTGTCCATACCTCAATTTCCCTAATGGTTCTCTCCAGATTAAGGAAGCATTATGTGTAGCATGTGAATCCTGAAAAGTAATTTTTGCTATAATTTGTAAAAGATGCAGCAAGGCATATATTGGGTAAACCGGTAGAAAACTAGCTGATTTGTTCCAGGAACATCTCTCAGAAAAGAAGACACTCAGACCAGTCCCTCACCGTATCTGCAGTTCTGACCACAGAGGTGAAAGATGATATATGTCACCGCGATACAATCTTGCTCTGATCATCAGACCACACGTGTCTCTTTGGAAAATCGCTTTATCTATAATCTTAAGTGTTTTAAGCCTAGCAGGTGTCAGTGCTCAGCATACCTTCATGAAAACAGTTTCAGTATTTCTACTTTCAGTTTTTTTTTCATGTTATATTTTTTTAAAAATTCGTTACACAGTTACGTCTATAACTAATTTTGAGCCTTCATTTGTTTTATTTTATTCATTCTGCACCGGTTTTTTTTTCTCCTTCAATTTTTTTTCAAGTTTGAGTTATCCCTCCCCCAGCTACTGGTGGTACTTCCCATTCGTTATGGTCGTGTAGTTCATGTCGAGGAAGGCCCCGGCCAAAACGCAGATTTGTCTTGTTGCGTATAAATTGTATGCGCCCCTCTTCCCCCTGAATCCCACAGGGGAAATACTTTAGAGCTCTTAGGAAATACTGTGGTGATGACGATCAGTGATTTTGTGCAGGTGGTGATAAAGAGAAACCTCATGAGAAGGAGGACAAGACGGAGAAGGCTGTCAGAGAATGGAAGGAGCAGGTGGAGCGCTGCCCGACAATGTCCAGACTTCATGTACTTATGGCCTTGTTAGACTCCTGTGTGAAGTGGGAGAAGTCTGCAGAAAATGCTGTAAGTATTTATTCTGTATCTGCACTTCTGATTCTTCTGTGTGTGTTCATAAATATATGTTAATATAACTATGTTAGGTGGTTGGGTCAGGGTTCTGTGATGTGTTCCTCTGTGATTCTCATCCATAAGATGTTTGTCTTATGGACAGTTAATCCTGCAGGGAACAATGATCTGACCTTGGTAGTTTATGTACCAGGGCCCATACCTAATACAGGAGCCAGGATAGATATTCAGGGGCCAATATTTTAGAGATTGCCATGGGCCCGATTTGGCCCACATGCCGCCATTTGAATAGCTTTGCTCTAGAAATTCGCCTGCTGTCCCATGGCTCTTGGTTTCAAACCCTCAGTAGGCGGATTTGTTGATTAAGGGCCCCCAGGTGGACCCTGTCTAAAATAGGTACCAGGACATGACCGGGGAATGAAAGACGGCGTGATGTTGAACGCATCGCTAAATGTAAGAAGTATATTAGTGTGTGAAGAGATATACTTCAGGGTTCTGTAAGGAGAAAACGGAAAAAAGGCAGACCAGGAGAGACCTGGATGCAGATTTTTGCTGAATAGACAGGCTGAAAGTCCATTGCATTTGGCCGACAGATGGACAGAACTAATCAGTCAGCCGCAACTGGTGATCCCCAGCAGGCAGCATTTTGAGACTAAGACAGCAAATGAAGAGATATGAATTTGAAACCTGTAGCTTTTTATCTGTGAATTCCTGAGTTTTCAGCCATTCTAGGGCCTGTGTCACAGCCATGGCCTCTATTGTCATGCTTGTTGATGGTAGAATCAAAGGCTCCACTGTCTTCTTTGATGACTTTCCCTTTGGTTCTTGCTATGAAAGCCAATGCACTTCACTTCTGACGAATCAGAGAACCATCTGTATATATAACTGCATCTTCTAGTGATGTGTGCTCCTCCAGCAATGCTTTCACTTCTGCATAGACTACTGGTGGCGCCGAATCACAGCATTGTCTTGTCAGGGTGATAACCACCACAAAGTACTGCTTGTATTCATTTGGATTCATTACATCCATTCCTCTCCATGGTTTGTCTTGAAGAGAAATCACCCGTTGAAGTCTCTGTCGAGCACAACCAAGACTGCCCTGGTTTAAGTCTGTTGCCTTTCCTTGTATTTAGTTTATCATGCAGTGGGTGTGTAAAGAACTTAGTGATTTTGAGGTAGGCACATGCTTGGCGCATTTCAAGCCTGCTGTTTATATCTGGTAGATCTAGTAGGTATCTTACTGTTCTACTTCAGGGCCTGGTGGTCCACGGGCCAAATCTAGCCAGTGGAAGCCTGTCAAGTGGCTTGCGGAACACTGCCAGCTGTATTGAATTAATAATCTTTCTATGCTGGGGTTCACGCCTATGTCCTGTGACGATCCACATTTTCAGTATTTTAGCCTCTCGGTAAACTTAGTTGAATAGCCCTGCTCTACCTGATGTCTTTGGTACCGCCCAGTATGATTCACATTGCTTCATTTTGTACCTTTTCCAGTCTTGTCGATTTATGTATTGCTGAGGGTAAGGATTGCCAGTGCATATTTTTTGACAGAGGATCAAATTCTGATGACTAGCAGCCTTTGTTGACCACACATGACGGCCATAACTTATTGCAGCCAAACCCAAACATGAGAAAATTCCAGAAGTGGATGATAAACCTGGACTTTCTGTCAGTGAATGCTCAGAAGAAAAAAAAATACAGCAGGCTTAAGATTATGTTGTATGGTTTCAGAAATGCAAGATCTGTCGTAAGAAATGCAACGATGCCCAGCTGCTCTTGTGTGATGAATGCAACCAGGCTTTCCACATGTACTGTCTGAGACCGGCTCTGACTAAATTGCCCAGTGGAGACTGGTTCTGTCCAGCTTGCAAGGTATGATATGCTCTTTTTTTTTCTCGATTGTGAAACATTTGGAAAGGTTTAAGTGGGAATTCACCGGTGCTTTGGTATATGTCGTTAATCCATTCCTGATACTTAGGCTGATACCAGACAGGACTTATACCAAATGAATTTTCCCTAAGAAGTAAAGGGAGGGAGATAGATCTGTACCCATGAATAAAGAAAATACTGTTGTTATTAGCATATTATGATTATGTGCTTGTACTAAAATGCAATTGCTCAGAGCACTAACTATTAGTACATTTACATATTCTGTGAAAAGTGGACTTTAACAGCTAAACTCAAAAGGAAGACCCAAGCATTGCTTTAGGTAACTATGAACCTAATTAAACTACAGTGAAGAGGCGAAAATGCAATGGTATAAGATCTAGCAGCCTCACAGAAACAGTACTGCAGGGCTCAGTAGAGGGAAAGAGGAGAAGAGGCAGACCAAGAAAGACCTGGTTACAGAACCTGACTGACTGGACAAGGCCTCAGGTATGCAACCGTGAAGTCCATTGCATCTGACCGCCGAAGGTAGAGAGAGTTGATCAGACAGTCAGCAGAAACTGACACAGTGTTGCGGGATGTTATGTGTAAAATAATTTTTAAATAGTTTAATACTAAATCATATAAATGCAAAAGCAGTTAGATTAAATTTAATCTCAGTATTAACTTGCTGAGAAGAGTTGAATGCCTGCTAGGATGATGTTGAGAAAGGAAGAGGAGGCGGAGAAGTTGAATGCCTGCTAGGATGATGTTGAGAAAGGAAGGGGAGGCGGAGAAGTTGAATGCCTGCTAGGATGTTGAGAAAGGAAGAGGAGGCGGAGAAGAAGGCCAGCTGGGATGATGTTGAGAAAGGAAGAGATGGCAGAGATGTTATGATTTGTAAGGAAGGTCTCCTTCCAATAAAACTTCAGGAATCTGAAATTCTTGTGTTTTTCCTCTTTCCTTTTTGTGTGTGTCTCTTTTCCCCCTACTGGGACGTGGTTGAGGCTGACAAGTTCTATCATGTGGGTGATATTCCAAACAACAAAGATCATATACCAAGCATATGTTGTCATGTATAATCAGGACCTATACCAAGTAGAACTTATTAGAAGGCCAGTGTAGGCGGAGGTACTGCTGTATATGGTTACTTTTACGACATTCCTATGAGGGCTCTTTGGCTCCTTTTTGAGGTTTGAACAACGGATCAACATCACGGCGCAAGAGTAGTAACCCATAAGTGCTCCATTCTACTTCTAACTCAAAATACTTTAGGAAGATTTTTGAACTCCAAATTGTGCCCGGGTAGCGCCTTCAGGCTGCTCTTTTTCAATTCCCAACTGCCGAGGAATTTTTACACACTGGTGTCTGATCTTACCACCCTGAGACCAGAGGAAATTACTAGAAGTCCCTACGAAAAAATCCCAGCCTTCACCGGGGCTTGAACCTGGGACCTCAAGCACTCGAGGCCAACATCATGCTCAAGACCACGCAGCGCCCCCACCCCTTCCCACAAGACTTTGGTTGAAACATTGTTGTCTGTGCATCTTTCTTTTCCCAGTTTTAATTTTGTATTCATTGCATGGAAATACCACCTTTTTGATGGTTTAAAATGTGTTTGATTTGCTTTTTCAGCCACGGAAACCTGAATTGAGGTCCTTGGATGTAAGTAGATTGTGTTATAGCTGCCAGATTGTTCATGATTTCATTTGTTCTAGAAAAGACTGTTTATATGTAGGCTAGAAAAGGCTCGGTTTATATGTAGACTAGAAGAGGCTGTTACATATAGACTAGAAGTGGCCTTTTTATACATTTAATAGAAGAGACTTTGTTTACACGTGGACTAGAAATAGCCATTTATACATAGACTAGAAATAGCCATTTATACATAGACTAGAAATGGCTATTTACACATAGACTAGAAATGGCTATTTATACATAGACTAGAAAAGGTTTGGTTTACACAGACTAGAAATGGCTTGATTCATACATAGACTAGAAGAGGCTTGATTCATACATAGACTAGAAGAGGCTGGGTTTACACATAGACTAGAAGAGGCTGCTTACACATAGACTAGAAGAGGCTGCTTACACATAGACTAGAAGTGGCTGTTTACACATAGACTAGAAGTGGCTGTTTACACATAGACTAGAAGAGGCTGTTTACACATAGACTAGAAGTGGCAGTTTACACATAGACTAGAAGTGGCTTGATTCATTTATAGACTTGAAGAGGCTAGGTTTACACATAGACTAGAAGTGGCTGTTTACACATAGACTAGAAGAGGCTGCTTAGACATAGACTAGAAGTGGTTGTTTACACATAGACTAGAAGTGGCTGCTTACACATAGACTAGAAGAGGCTGTTTAGACACAGACTAGAAGTGGCTGTTTACACATAGACTAGAAGTGGCTGTTTACACATAGACTAGAAGTGGCTGTTTACACATAGACTAGAAGTGGCTGTTTACACATAGACTAGAAGAGGCTGTTTAGACATAGACTAGAAGTGGCTATTTACACATAGACTAGAAGTGGCTGTTTACACATAGACTAGAAGAGGCTGTTTACACATAGTCTAGAAGTGGCTGTTTACACATAGACTAGAAGAGGCTGTTTAGACATAGACTAGAAGTGGCTGTTTAGACAAAGACTAGAAGAGGCTGTTTAGACATAGACTAGAAGTGGCTGTTTAGACATAGACTAGAAGTGGCTGTTTAGACATAGACTAGAAGTGGCTGTTTAGACATAGACTAGAAGTGGCTGTTTACACATAGACTAGAAGAGGCTGCTTACACATAGACTAGAAGAGGCTGCTTACACATAGACTAGAAGAGGCTGCTTACACATAGACTAGAAGTGGCTGTTTACACATAGACTAGAAGTGGCTGTTTACACATAGACTAGAAGAGGCTGCTTACACATAGACTAGAAGTGGCTGTTTAGGCATAGACAAGAAGAGGCTGTTTAGACATAGACTAGAAGTGGCTTGATTCATATAAAGACTAGAAGAGGCTGTTTACACATAGACTAGAAGAGGCTAGGTTTACACATAGACTAGAAGAGGCTAGGTTTACACATAGACTAGAAGTGGCTGTTTACACATAGACTAGAAGAGGCTAGGTTTACACATAGACTAGAAGAGGCTGTTTACACATAGACTAGAAGTGGCTGTTTACACGTAGACTAGAAGAGGCTTTTTTACACATTGACTAGAAGTGGCTGTTTACACATAGACTAGAAGAGGCTGTTTACACATAGACTAGAAGTAGCTTGATTCATATATAGACTAGAAGAGGCTAGGTTTACACATAGACTAGAAGTGGCTGTTTACACATAGACTAGAAGTGGCTGTTTACACATAGACTAGAAGTGGCTTGATTCATATAAAGACTAGAAGAGGCTAGGTTTACACGTAGACGAAGTGGCTGTTTACACATAGACTAGAAGTGGCTGTTTACACATAGACTAGAAGTGGATTGATTCATATATAGACTAGAAGAGGCTAGGTTTACACATAGACTAGAAGTGGCTGTTTACACATAGACTAGAAGTGGCTTGATTCATATATAGACTAGAAGTGGCTGTTTACACATAGACTAGAAGTGGCTTGATTCATTTATAGACTTGAAGAGGCTAGGTTTACACATAGACTAGAAGTGGCTGTTTACACATAGACTAGAAGTGGCTGCTTACACATAGACTAGAAGTGGTTGTTTACACATAGACTAGAAGTGGTTGCTTACACATAGACTAGAAGAGGCTGTTTAGACACAGACTAGAAGTGGCTGTTTACACATAGACTAGAAGTGGCTGTTTACACATAGACTAGAAGTGGCTGTTTACACATAGACTAGAAGTGGCTGTTTACACATAGACTAGAAGAGGCTGTTTAGACATAGACTAGAAGTGGCTGTTTACACAGACTAGAAGTGGCTGTTTACACATAGACTAGAAGAGGCTGTTTACACATAGACTAGAAGTGGCTGTTTACACATAGACTAGAAGTGGCTGTTTAGACATAGACTAGAAGTGGCTGTTTACACATAGTCTAGAAGTGGCTGTTTACGCATAGACTAGAAGAGGCTGTTTAGACATAGACTAGAAGTGGCTGTTTAGACAAAGACTAGAAGAGGCTGTTTAGACATAGACTAGAAGTGGCTGTTTAGACATAGACTAGAAGTGGCTGTTTAGACATAGACTAGAAGTGGCTGTTTACACATAGACTAGAAGAGGCTGCTTACACATAGACTAGAAGAGGCTGCTTACACATAGACTAGAAGAGGCTGCTTACACATAGACTAGAAGTGGCTGTTTACACATAGACTAGAAGTGGCTATTTACACATAGACTAGAAGTGGCTGTTTAGACATAGACTAGAAGAGGCTGTTTAGACAAGAACTAGAAGTGGCTTGATTCATATAAAGACTAGAAGAGGCTGTTTACACATAGACTAGAAGAGGCTAGGTTTACACATAGACTAGAAGAGGCTAGGTTTACACATAGACTAGAAGTGGCTGTTTACACATTGACTAGAAGTGGCTGTTTACACATAGACTAGAAGAGGCTGTTTACACATAGACTAGAAGTGGCTTGATTCATATATAGACTAGAAGAGGCTAGGTTTACACATAGACTAGAAGTGGCTGTTTACACATAGACTAGAAGTGGCTGTTTACACATAGACTAGAAGTGGCTTGATTCATATATAGACTAGAAGAGGCTAGGTTTACACATAGACGAAGTGGCTGTTTACACATAGACTAGAAATGGCTGTTTACACATAGACTAGAAGTGGCTTGATTCATATATAGACTAGAAGAGGCTAGGTTTACATATAGACTAGAAGTGGCTGTTTACACATAGACTAGAAGTGGCTTGATTCATATATAGACTAGAAGAGACTAGGTTTACACATAGACTAGAAGTGGCTGTTTACACATAGACTAGAAGTGGCTGTTTACACATAGACTAGAAGTGGCTTGATTCATATATAGACTAGAAGAGACTAGGTTTATACATAGACTAGAAGAGGCTAGGTTTACATATAGACTAGAAGTGGCTGTTTACACATAGACTAGAAGTGGCTTGATTCATATATAGACTAGAAGAGACTAGGTTTACACATAGACTAGAAGTGGCTGTTTACACATAGACTAGAAGTGGCTGTTTACACATAGACTAGAAGTGGCTGTTTACACATAGACTAGAAGTGGCGTTGTTTTCACAAGCTAGAAGAGGCGTTGTTTCCGCCTAGACTAGATGAGGCATGATTTAGTGTCAGCATAAACATGAATCTGAGTAAATTCCTTCACCTTTTAGTCTGACAGCGAGGCAGGCGAGGAAGAAGAGAAGGAAGATGTCTGCCGTGAGTGTGGAGGCTCCGAGAAGCTCATAGTTTGCTCAAAGTGTCCTGCTGCTTTTCACACACAGTGTCATGACCCACCGCTCAGGCATCCCCCAAGGTAAGCTCTGCTGATTTAGTTTTCTGTTTATAATTGTTTGGTTTTCAGTTTAAGGTTGTTTGCTTTTCCATTTACAGTTTTTGGTTTTCTGTTTATGGTTGTTTTTTCCATTTATAGTTTTTGGTTTTCTGTTTATGGTTGTTTGATTTTCGGTTTATGTTTGTTTGGTTTTCCGTTTATGGTTGTTTGGTGTTCTGTTTATGGTTGTTTTTTCCATTTATAGTTGTTTGGTTTTCTGTTTTTTTTTTTTTTTTTTTTTTTAAATTCAGTTTGTTTTTTATGTTCCATGATTTCTGTTTATTAATTTGTTTGGTTTGGTTTTCTGTGTAGTTTTTTTTTTTTTTTTTTTAAATTCACTGTTTGGTTTTCTGTTCACTGATTTCTGTTTATTGGTTTGTTTGGTTTTATGTTTATAGTGTGTGTGTATTTGTTCACAGTTTTGGTCTTCTGTTTACTTAATTTGTTGTTTGTTTATGTAGTGTTGGTAAAACTAATTTAACTGTGCATTGGTATCGAAAAAGCTAATGAGTGAACTTGTATATTTTCAGAGGTGTATGGGAGTGTTCTGATTGTAAGAGTGGGGTCAACAGAAGGAGGAGAAAGGGTAAACTTTCCAGGAGAGGTGAGTGTTGTTTTTTTCCCCTCATGGTCAGATAAATGTTGCCAGTTCTGCAGACTTGTGTGTTTTTTTTTTAGTTTTTGTCATCAAGACGAGGCCCTGAGTTTCATCTCCTGCTTCCAATGAAGCTTCCTGGGCTCCGTTTTGGTGAAGAAAGAATAAATCCACTCCCTACTAACAGACATATCGTAGGAGATGACCAGTTTGGGGTGTTCCCTAATGAAGTCGCACTGCATATGCCTGAGAGTCAAGGAACCAACAGTCTGCATACAAATAAGTCGGATTTGTAAAATGGATGCACACCCAAAACTCAAGCTCTGGATCAAGACCGAAGACTAGGAGTGGATGAACAAGCAGAACTTTCCTCCGGGGTTTACTGCTGGTGAACACGAAGAAGAAATCCACACAATAAAACGTTACTTTTTTCCCTTGTGGGTCAGGGCTCCATGTCATACAAGGCAGCTAATTAGGGGAGATTGCTTCTAAGTTTTTCTGAGCGCTTCTGCCTGAGAGGCAAAGAACCCACAGTGTGCATACAGATAAGCCAGATCTTTAAAATGGATGTGTGCCCAAAACTTAGGTTCTGGATCAAGACCAAAGTCCAGTAGTGGACAATCAACCAGAACTTCCCTCAAGGGTTTACAAGAGTGGCGAATGTTAAGAAGAAACATTTCTTAGTCATCAGATATAAGGGTTATATTTCAAATTTTTTTTTTAAATCAAGCTTCTGCTACTGACTTTTTAGAATAAGACCATTCTCATTGAATGATTCCCAACAAAGACAGTTTTCCCCCCACGATTTTTACCAGTCTCATTAAAAGGGCGGCAGATGATTTACAGAATTTCGAAACGTTTTCCTGTAGTGAATTTAAATAATGCTGTAACAGGCAGTGCATTGCACAGATTATCGCCTGGTATATTTCGTTTACTCTCATCGGCTGCCTCAATACAGGGTCACGTCGACATCTAATAAAGCACAACAGTTTATTCCTGCCCACGGAAATACACAAATCACATTGTCCTCTCTAGATACACTGTTGATCTCACCACCTGTAGTTCGAGTCAAAATAACTACCACTGAAGTGTCAAATTTACTGCATATTCTTTTTGTTTGTTAACATAACGTTGCATTGTTAGTTTTAATTGTTACAGCTTCTGCCAGTTTTCATAATTCTTACAAAATTGTTCGTGAAGGAAAGAAACTGGTCTGCTGTGGCCTTGATTTTGTGAAAGTCAAACACAGTGGCTCTCAACCTTCATAATGCCGTGACCCTTTTTTACAGTTCCCTCATGTTGTGGCGACCCTAGACAATTTTTTTCCTTCATAACTTCAATGAATATGTGTTTTCTGATGGTCTTAGGCGACCCTAGTGAAGGGGTCGTTCAAATAAAAAAGGGTCGTGACCTGCAGGTTGAGAACCGCTGGTCTAACACTTTACATCTGAATTGTAGTACCTGCTATTAGATTGCATTTGCCTTCAGTCGGTGAATCAAGTGCCATTTCCATTAGCTGTGATGAATCTCATGTTTTCTATTCCTGTTTACTACAGTAGTACAGATTTTTCCTACTTTTCACCAGATCTTGGTACTATCCCTGTTTGCTACAGTAGTACAGATTTTTCCTACTTCATCTCACCAGATCTTGGTACTATCCCTGTTTGCTACAGTAGTACAGATTTTTCCTACTTCTCACCAGATCTTGGTACTATCCCTGTTTGCTACTGTAGTACAGATTTTTCCTACTTCTCACCAGATCTTGGTACTATCCCTGTTTGCTACTGTAGTACAGATTTTTCCTGCTTCTTCTTACCAGATCTTGGTACTATCCCTGTTTGCTACTGTAGTACAGATTTTTCCTACTTCTTACCAGATCTTTGAACTATCTATGTTTGCTACTGTAGTACAGATTTTTACCTACTTCTCACCAGATCTTGGAACTATCCCTGTTTGCTACTGTAGTACAGATTTTTCCTACTTCTTACCAGATCTTGGAACTATCCCTGTTTGCTACAGTTTCCTGTTGACTGCAATAGTTCATGTTTCCTGCTTTTCCCACTATATCTTCTTACCGTCTTTGTTATCTCGATACCTATTTCCTACTTTAATTACATCTTGATACTAACCTTGTTTGTTACAAGGATATATATTTTGTTATACTTTTCCCACGCACCTTGTTACAATCCTTGTTGCTACAGCGATACATATTTTTCCAGCATTTTATTATCCCTGTTTGGTACCAGGATACATATTTTCTTTCTTTTCATGCATTTTGTTACAAGTTGTATCTTTTTGTAATTTTTTTTTTTTAAATATATTTTTCTCACTTTTTTATGTTACTGATCCTATTTGCTACAAGAATACAAAGTTTCTACTTTCCCCACATCTTGTTCTTCCTATTTGCTACAATAATAATATTTGGAAAAAAAAAAAATTCTTTTATTACCAAATCTTGGTACTATCCTTGTTTGCTACAAGGATTTTTTTTTAAATTTATATTTTCCCCCACAGCATCTGGTCACTGCGTTTTTTTTTTTTAAATCAACAAGGATACACATTTTAAAAATTCTACAAGGATGCAGATCAGTGTTGACACTTTTCTTTGACGAAAAATATCTAAAATTGAGTTTAAAAAAATCTAAACACATCTAAATTTGTGTGAAAAACATCTAGAACAAACATCCAAATGGAAAGAGTAACAAATTACATAGCAGTTGATATGAATTACCTTTAAGAATCATGTCCTCATCTTTACTGAAGTCTGCCTTACAAGATCCACAGGATAAACTTAGCTTGGATGTTGAAGTTGAGCCTTCAGATCCAAAATGACTGGTATGCTTTAGCTGTTCCCATTTCTTTTAATACACAATCAGGGAGCTGATAAGTGGAACAGCATTTTCCTACTCTTATCAGGCCGATATTTTTTGTCAAGATAGCATTTAAAAGGTCAAATTTCATCCTGTTTCTTAGGTTAGATTTGATAAATTAACTCCAGATGAAAAACATCTATAAGACATCTACCATCTAAACGTCAAAAACACCATCTAAATGCAGGAAAAACATCTAAATATGGATATAAAATATGCAAAGTGGCAACACTGATGCAGATTTTTTCTGTTTTTCCCACTGCATCACTATGCTTTTTGTGTGTGTGGCTACAAGGATGCAGATTTGTCTATTTTCCCAAAGTATCTTGTTATTTTCCCTACTTGCTACCATGCTTCATATTTTTTCCCTAGCTGCTTCCAAGTCTGCCAGCAGGAAAGAGGTTTCTGCTAGTGAGGAGGAGGAGGAGGATGATGAAGAAGATGAGGATGATGGTAGCGATGAAGACTTTGTAGCGGAGCCTTCGAACTTCAAATCTCGCTCGCAAAAACAAGAGGCAGCGCGGGGTCGGGAGAGAAAGCAGCAGAATTTGGCCAGCGTAAAAGGGCGTGTACCAAGGTCACGAACTAGCAGCCAGAAAAACAGTGCTTCAGTGGTCACGCCAACCCGGGGATCTCGACGGGGTCCTTCAGAGTTGTCTGTAAGTTTTAAAAAAATTCCTCCAATTTATTTTTTATCTTGTGTTCAGATTTTTCTTCTTCTTCTTCAGCATTCAGAGCCCTTCAGGTTCATTGTTGCAGATATCACCCGCCTCCATTCATCTCTCTGGTTGGCCTTCTCTTTCAGTTCAAGTGTTTACAGGTCTGTCTGGAAATTATCTCTTCATCGTCTTCTTGGTCTGCCTCGTGGTCTACGACCATTCATTTCCCTCGTGTATACAGTTTTTACTTCTGCCATCTGACATTCTTTAAAAATGCCCTAATCATTTCAGTCTGTTAGCTCTCATGATGCCAGTCATCAGTGGTGATTTAAACAGATTATGAATTTCGTTGTTGCTTCTCACTCTCCATTCACCGCTGTTTGCTGTTCGGCTTTTAAACTCTTTTAATACCAGGTAGTTTGTTAGGAGATATATATGTAAGGGCAGGAGGCAATAACTTTGACAAATCTGGTGATTTGATTTTGAAGAGGCCAAATAGACAGTAAAGTGATGTAGGGAGAAGCTATATTTTCTTAATACGTTGTAACCAGATATAATAAGAGAATGATGCAATGACTGGCGTTGTTAGGCACCAGCAGCACAATCGACTTTGGGGCACACTATTTAGTGTACCTCACCAAGACTAGAAGAGTCTGTCACAAAATTCACACCTTTTTGAAACTTCCTGCTCTGCTCATACACCCGCTGGATCAACAAGCATGCGTCTCGATATTTGACCTCATTTTCTGATAGATTTCTATACGGTTTCTGCCCCCACTGATTAAAGAACAGATAACAATGACACCCCACCCCCCCCCCCCCTTCCTATAGGGTCCTGGAACTCGATTGGATGAACAGTCAGAATTTTCCAGAGTTGACAGCCGGTGAACGTAAAGAAGAAGAAAATGAACTTAAAAATGCAGGAATTGTGGCAGAGATTGTCACTCTCGCATTGGACGACATAATCACCAGCATCGCTGTCAGGCACCTGCTTACAAGGTCCAACAATTAAGTAATGAAACTAATTTCATGAAAATTAAAATAAATCCATGCCTTGCTTTATAAATGGCACTTTTGTCTTGGCCATAATAAAAGCAGTCTTATTACTTAATTGTCGGACCTTGTATTACTGCTAATGCTGCTGCTGCTACTACCTACTAATGACACACACAGTTTGTACAAGTAAATGTTTCGACATTTTGTTTTTCAATCAGTAACTTCATGTATATTCAAACTGACTTATACTAGATTTATGCTATGTTTTGCATAAATGTACTAGGTTTTTCTATTTTATTTCTATGCAGTTTTTCAGTACACTTATGCTTAATGATTAGAGTTTTGCTAGTATCTATGCACCTGTATTCTGCTGTGCTGTGTTCGTTTATTCTAATGTTTTGTTTATATTTATGCTAGTTTACTGATTTGATTTATTATAGTTTTGTGTGTGTGTGTGTGTGTGTGTAGATTTATGCTCTTGTGCTGGACAAATTGATGCTGTTGTGCTTGCTGTGTAGATTTGTGGTGATGTCTTGTGAAGATTTATTTATGCTAGTCTGCTGTTTAGATTTATGCTAGTCTATTGTGTAGATTTATGCTCATTTTGTTTAGATATTTGCTCATGTTTGGCCTGTTCATGTATTTCAGCTGTGTGAAGATATTCTCCACAAAGTGATGAAACATAAGGCCAGTTGGCCTTTCTTAGAACCGGTAGACAAAAAACTGGTAAGTACAAGATGTTTCTTTTACAGCATTCCTTATATGGGCTTCAGGCACCAATGCATGTGTGGTTAGGGGAGGGGAGGGGGATGTTATTCTTTATTCAGAAGAGGAAGATTCACAGCCACTTTAGGTTTGTAAAGGAAAACTTTCACAGAAGTGAGGAACTTAACTTGATGATCCCAGGGTAGTGAAGAAGATGCCTAGTCTTCTTGAATGAGGGTTGGAAATAGATTGCATCTTCTGAATCATGGAAAACTGGTTAGGTTCACATTAATCTCCCCAAATAGAGTAGGTCACTTTTCCACTTTCCAGAAGGTTACGAGTGCTCTGTCCCACTCTGTTGTTTGCTTTCTGTTTTATCTTACATTTACGTTTTCATTCCGAGAAAGATAATGCCTGTGACATATGTTGCAGCACTCAAGGGGGTGGGGGATGATTTAGGGTCAGTTTCTCCATGTTTTTGGAGCAATACAAGTGATAACATACTGAAATATACAGCACGTGATATCAACAGCATTGTGGAACACCCTTCTGACCTTGTGCGAAGGAACTACCGATCAGAAGTAAGCTAGTGTGTAAATGGGCGAGACCTGGGGAAATTAATTTCCGGAAAACTTTCACAGAAGCGAGGAACTTAACTGGATGATCCAAAGGTAGTGAAGAAGAAGCCTAGTCTACTCAAATGAGGGTAGGAAATAGACTGCAAACTTTTAAAGGCTGAAGGGGGAGAATTGTCAAGGAGATGAATGGCGCGTTTATTGTCACAAAAAGCAGCTTCATATAAAGACAATGGCTGTAACAAAGTCATTGACGTAGCTGGTTCTAGGTTAGTTGCCTATCCTTTACAGGACGTTGCAGAACCAACCCCAACTGCCACTGGCTGTTGTTTTTTTTCTAGGCAAATTTACGTCCAGTAGCTTGCCATTGCTTTCTGGACGGTCGGCTTTCTTGATACCACTGTCGAAACCATCGCAAGGCACATGGCCTGCAGCTTGGATCGAATCCAGCATTACAAAGCGTTCGCATCGGCTTAGCCACAGAGCCGACTTGCTGGTTCTACATTTCCTAATAAACCCTTTTCTCACATATGTAAATGGGAGTGACTCCTGAGAATATGCTCCAGCCTGCTTCATCAAGCAAGAGTGGATAGTCTTGTGAATCTGGTTTATCTACCCTTTGTCTAGTGCTGGGCCATGCTGGTTTATCTACTCTTTTTCTTGTGCTGGGCCATGCTGGTTTATCTACCCTTTGTCTAGTGCTGGGCCATGCTGGTTTATCTACCCTTTGTCTTGTGCTGGGCCATGCTGGTTTATCTACCCTTTGTCTAGTGCTGGGCCATGCTGGTTTATCTACCCTTTGTCTAGTGCTGGGCCATGCTGGTTTATCTACCCTTTGTCTAGTGCTGGGCCATGCTGGTTTATCTACCCTTTGTCTTGTGCTGGACCATGCTGGTTTATCTACCCTTTGTCTAGTGCTGGGCCATGCTGGTTTATCTACCCTTTGTCTAGTGCTGGGCCATGCTGGTTTATCTACCCTTTGTCTAGTGCTGGGCCATGCTGGTTTATCTACCCTTTGTCTAGTGCTGGGCCATGCTGGTTTATCTACCCTTTGTCTTGTGCTGGACCATGCTGGTTTATCTACCCTTTGTCTAGTGCTGGGCCATGCTGGTTTATCTACCCTTTGTCTTGTGCTGGGCCATGCTGGTTTATCTACCCTTTGTCTTGTGCTGGGCCATGCTGGTTTATCTACCCTTTGTCTAGTGCTGGGCCATGCTGGTTTATCTACCCTTTGTCTAGTGCTGGGCCATGCTGGTTTATCTACCCTTTGTCTTGTGCTGGACCATGCTGGTCTGTAAGGCACAAAGCGTGCAGATTTTCTGATGGACAGTTGTTACTGTGACTAATCCGGTACTGGATAAGAGCAGTGTTCTCAGTGCTGTGCAAGATGCATATCGCGAAGACGAATACATTGACAAAATAGGCCTGCTCAGTCGTTGTACACTTCTGGGAGCAGCTTTGGGAACTGGCAAACTCTGACCAGGATGGATTGGCAGTGTCCAGATGTTCCGCTTCAATCAAGATTGGCTGTGTCTGCTGTTGTTGGTGTAGGATTAAATATGGAGATGGTAGATGTGCTGTGTTGCAGAGAGATGTCGAGACAGAGGAGTTCATGAAAATTATTTAGTGGGTGTTTAATAAGAACAGGCATATAAAAACTGGTTGTGGGAGCCACACACTAAGAAAATATTACAGTCAACTCTTGCTGGATGTGTTGATCGTGGAAATTATGCCATGGCTGCTGCATTGGAGGACCAGCATGAATTGGGCGGACTGATGTGCTAAGATGCCAGCAACAGTTAACATATGGATATGTTGGGAGTGTTGTCATGTTTCATCTTCACTTTACGTTCTTTTATAGCATGGTAATGGCATTCATTATGTTTTTCAAAAGCATTGTAATTGGCTTTTTAAATAATTCTTTAATAAGATGTTAGTTGAGTTGAGTCAAGAATTGACATCACATCACTTGGGGCATTCCCATGTGTGCTCTGTCCTCATCTTCAGCAGCTAGCACAATACTGTCTTTCTTGCCTTTCCTCTGAGTGTAGTGAGGCGTTCAGACCCTCTGGTTACACCCAGGGGCCTCATTCTCTCCAGGCCATAATAATTTTGTTTCTCCACTGATTCTGTTGCTTGTTAAATTTTTTTAAAATATTTTTTTTAATTGGGTAGGACGTAAAAAGTAAAGGACCCTTTTCCACGCCAGTAGGCACATTGGGCTAGACCTATATTTTTATAGACCAATCGGCACAAGATGGGTGATGTGGTCAGCATCACGCCGGCCGCCTTTACTTTCCGGGACCGCACCCGGTACTCACTCAAGGCTGGGTCGATCTTGGAGCCAAGGTCATTTTTGAAAAAAATCCAGCTTCGTGAGGAAGTGAAGCCACGGCGACCCATGGGTAGGACATGGAAACACCTATGAAAACATACAAGCAAAATCACAAATGTTAGATGAGATTTATAAGATATGTGACGGGAGAAACTTGAAGAGACGAGAGTCACTAATGAAGAACTAAGAACAATAGTAGGCACATTACTAGCAAATGATTCATTAGAACAACAAAGAATCAAATGATTTGGTCATCTGGTAAAAATAGAACAAAATCAGCCAGCAGCTTGAGTGAACTACACGAGAAAACCAGGCTGCTACAAGTCAAGAGATGAAGACAAAGGTGGGTGGATGGAGTAAAAGAGACACAATAGAAATGCAAGATAGCATTATTACAAGCTACATATCTATCAAAGACAGGAAACTGCATCAAGCTTCTCTCTGGGGGTTTACAGCATAAACAGTAGGAGAAAAGAAGAAGAGTCGAGTGTAAAGGGGGATCTGGAGTTAAGAAAAATATGTTCTTGTTGGTAAGACAAAGGTCTTACATCCTTGAGAAAGAAAACATGTTCTTAATGGTAAGGCAAAGGTCTTACGTCCTTGAGAAAGAAAATGTGTTCTTGTTGGTAAGACAAAGGTCTTACATATTTGAGAAAGAAAACATGTTCTTGCTGGTAAGACAAAGGTCTTACATCCTTGAGAAAGAAAACATGTTCTTGTTGGTAAGACAAAGGTCTTACATCCTTGAGAAAGAAAACATGTTCTTGTTTGGTAAGACAAAGGTCTTACATACTTGAGAAAGAAAACATGTTCTTGTTGATAGAACAAAGGTCTTAACGTCATTGAGAATCTTCTGATATAGTCTGGTAGAGCAGACTGTGAGCTTATGATGGAATCTCTCTTCCCCTCTTACCTTTATCCTGCAAAAGAGCATAAGCCCTTGTGCCATGTCATCCTATCCTTTGCCTTTGCACGCCAGTCATCTTTTGTCCTCTATCTTTCTCGGCTTCTTCCAATTCTCTCCATAAAAAAATATTTTTTGGGGGTCTGCTATGAAGGCTATCAATTGATTGGTGTATCCCCTTCAGGCTGCTACCTAAAGGTTTGAAATACCATCCTGAGATCAATCTCAGTCGTGATAGAATATCAACCAGACAAAAATACCCCGTTCATCCTCCAAGGTAGTTATAATTAGGCCATAACGGCTGCACCAACCAGCTGTGTTTTATAGTCCTGTGTGGGTAAGGATGATTATAGGACCAATTGATATCCGCAGTAATGAACCTGGAGGCTGTGGAAGAAGAGAGGGTGGAAAATTCCTGTGTGGGTTCTGGGACAGCAATGTGGAGAAAACAAGAATAGACTCACTCACTACCTACCTGCCCAACAAACATGTGATAAGAGTCGACTAATTGAGGGTTTCCTTTGAAGTCGAGGTGCATCAGCCTGAGAGGCAAGGAACCAACAGTCTGCATACAAATAAGTTAGGTCTGTAAGATGGATATGCACATAACACGCAGGTTCTGGGACAAGTCCAGAGGTGTATAAACAACCAAGACTTTCCGCCGGAGTTTACAGCCAGTGAACGAAAAGAAGATTAAAAAAAACAGCTTCTTTTTTGTTGTTGCAAGAAAGCTATTTTTTGTTAAAGTAACTGATGGGATAACCGAATGTCTTCCTTGTGTTCTGTGGTAGGTTCCTGACTACTACACTTTAATTAAGAAGCCTATGGACTTCCAGACGATGCTGAAGAAGTGTACACGCCTGAGTTATGCCTCCCCACAAGAGTTCATTGAGGATGCAGCCTTGGTGTTTGAAAACGCTGAAGCTTATAACAAGGTTTGTGCTTTCTCTTGTTTCTCAGTTTGTCTCTCAGATTCTCCTTTTGTTTCTTATATCTTTCTCTTGTTTCTCTTTCTCCTATCCTTCTCTGAGTTTTCTCTTGTTTTTCATATCTTTCTCTTGTCTCTCAGATCTTTCTTTTGTTTCCTAAAAGTCTTTCTCTTATATTTCATTTCTTTCTCTTGTTTCTGAGATCTTTCTTTTGTTTCTTATATCTTTCTCTTGTTTCTCTTTCTCCTATCCTTCTCTGAGTTTTCTCTTGTTTTTCATATCTTTCTCTTGTCTCTCAGATCTTTCTTTTGTTTCCTAAAAGTCTTTCTCTTATATTTCATTTCTTTCTCTTGTTTCTGAGATCTTTCTTTTGTTTCTTATATCTTTCTCTTGTTTCTCTTTCTCCTATCCTTCTCTGAGTTTTCTCTTGTTTTTTATATCTTTCTCTTGTCTCTCAGATCTTTCTTTTGTTTCCTAAAAGTCTTTCTCTTATCTTTCATTTCTTTCTCTTGTTTCTGAGATCTGCCTCTTGTTTCGTACGCCTTTAACTACTCAGAATGGATAGATTTAAAAAAAAGTTTATTGTGTATCTTTTGGATGACCTTGCAGAACAATTCCAGCGTTTATTGCCTGTTTGTAGTTTTGCTATATAATTATAGGTGAATTACCTAAGCAATTTTCCGTTAGTAGTTTGCCATGGCTTTCTGAATGACCAACTCTCGATGCCACTCAGAATCAACTCATATTGGTATGCTACTAAATCACCTGTAGCTGGAATCAAACCTGACATCTTGAAATTACAAACTGCATTTGCAACCCCTAAGCCACACTGCTGACAGAATGTTAAACATCCAAAACATTGCCCTGGGTTGAAAAACATTAACCATAAGATAAAACAGTATCTCTTACTGTGGGATAGAAAGAGAAAGACAGATATGAGTGGACGAGACTCATAATTCCAGGATAGAAGAGACAGATCAGAATCATTTTGCAGCCTTTATGGGAATGTGGCATGTTCTGAGCCTGTTTATGAGAATCGTAGTTCATTGGCATGTCTGCAATGGCCTGTTTTTAAAAATTGTAGTTCATTGGCATGTCTACAATAACCTGTTTCTGAAAACTGTAGTTCATTGGCATGTCTACAATAACCTGTTTCTGAAAACTGTAGTTCATTGGTATGTCTACAATAACCTGTTTCTGAAAACTGTAGTTCATTGGCATGTCTACAATAACCTGTTTCTGAAAACTGTAGTTCATTGGCATGTCTACAATAACCTGTTTCTGAAAACTGTAGTTCATTGGCATGTCTACAATAACCTGTTTCTGAAAACTGTAGTTCATTGGCATGTCTACAATAACCTGTTTCTAAGAATGTTGGTTCTGTTTACGCCTGTGCAGAATTTAAGAAGCCTAGAATTTTTTTTTAAAAACTAAAAATGGCATTTAATTAAGATTATTGTGAAATGGCTTTTTTTTTTTTAAAACCATGTTAACATGGAATTTGACTGTCACTTCAATAACAGAGGTCATTGGGTCACAGCATGAGTCACCCAGCATTACATATTCATTTTTGTTTGTGTAGGTCCTGAAGTTTAATGCTCCACTTTGCTGACTGTTATTGATTATTCTCTGTATATATCGTTGCATATTTTTGCCTGAAAAACTTACATCACTAATTATTTTTTCAAATCTTTAGACACCCCAAAAAAAAAAAAAAGGGGGGGGGGGGGATTTTGTGTGTGTCAAAGGATTTTCACCAGGAATCCGAGCGCTTCATGGTTCATTTTTAAAGCTTTCACATGATGACAAGTTTAAGATAGTTCTTTTCCCAAGGTACCTAACCAGAAACTTAGTTTAACAGAAACCCAAAGAAGTTAAATATGAAGAATAAATGGATGAATAAGTAAAGATGCTCAAGACAAACTGTAAAGAATGTTGAGAGAGGAGCCATACTATATTCCATCACATTTGAAAAAAAAAATTACTTTAAATAGATTAGAAAGAAGGAATTGACTGCGAGTCTTTACGGTAAAACAACATTCCTAGCGTGGATTTGGGGACCCTATCATGTGGGAAACAGAGGAGACCCACTGACCCCTAGTAAGCATGTCCTAAGAGGCGACAATTGTGGGGTTTCCTGTGAAGCTGGCATGCATCTGCCTGAGCAGCTAGGAACCAACAATAAACCAGATCTTTGAAATGGATGTGCAGGCAGGTTTGAAGAGCTGAAATAAGACCAAAGTCCAGAAGTGGACAGATAACCAGAACTTTCCACAGGAGTTTACAGCCAGTGAATGCTCAGAAGAAGAAGATATTACATCCTCAGAATCCCTATGTGGGCTCAGACGCCTATTGTAGATAAAACAAGGATAGACCCACTGCCTCACCAACAAGCATGTCATAAGAGTCAACTTATTGGGTGTTTCTTTTAAAAACCGAGTATTTACCTGATAGACAAGCAACCAACAGTCTGCACACAAATAAGTCAGATCTGTAAAACAGATGTGCAAATAAATCATGTTCTGGAACAGGTCTAAAGTCCAGAGTTGAGCGAACAACTAGAACTTTCTGCCAGAGTTTTCAGCCTATGGTTGCGAAGAAGAAGACATCTTGAGAATATTTCCATGTCAGTATCTAACTTCTTTTTGTTAATTCCTGAAATTAGGCGGACAGCGAGGTGTATACCTGCATGCAGGAAGTGGAGAAACTGTTCAAGGAGGCACTTCACAAGCTGCTTCCTGATTGGCCATATTATCGGACAGTCACCGAAAGAGACGAGAGCTCCAGTGGCAGCGAAACAGGGAGGAGAAAATCTCGGAACAAATAGGGCCAAACATCTAACAACTCAGCCATTCTTGTTCAAGCTTTGTTCATGACATGTGAAGTTACATCTGTCATCGTATATAAATTTTTCTTTTCTTCCTTTTAAATGTCATGTGATTTGTACAGTGTCATATGGTTTCTAACTTTCTGTGAGATGGAAATCATGGATGTTTGTCTTGTTTGTTTATTGTTGTTTGTCTAGTTTAATGTCTATAATTTCAAACTTGATTTGTGTTGTAAAACATTGTTTAAACAAATTTATTTGGTTCACTTTTAGAGGCTGGACAAAAGATGGCATTTCAGACATCATTTTTATGTCTGCTGTCATTTATTGTGATGTTTCTTGTAAATACTTTTTTTTTTGCTGAGAGAGTAAGTGATTGGACCTGTTGTTTTTTGTTCTGTCTGAATCGTGGACCTCAAATGTTTATATGTTACATGCCAGAAAGGTTTTAAAAGATGACATGATTGACTTCTTCTTAGCCTTCACCAGCTGTAAACTCTGGCAGAGGGTTCTGGATGGTCATCTACTTCTTGACCTCATTTTCTTCTTCTTTAGAATCTGAGTTTTGTGTGCACATCTGTTTCACAGATCTGCCGCCTTTCTGTGCAGACTGTTGGTTCCTCACCCCTTAATTAGTAAACTCTTACTACAGGCTTGTTAGGGGGCTGTGGTCTTATTCTTCCCGCCCCCAACAATGGGGCCCCAGAACCCACACAGGAAATTATTGCCTTCATTCCACTGGGCTTTATCTTGTATGGTTTGGTCTGTCTATTTTCAAAATAGCTAGTTGCCTGGCAAGATTGTCACACAAAGCACAAACTATATAGCTCCAGCAGTGATCCCTGAGGATCTTTAAAATTACACCCTTAAAACAAAGGGCAGTCCGAGAAACAAACTAGCTAACTGCAGAATGTTTAGACAAACTGCTTGGTCAAAGACATCTGTTAGTTGCCAGAAAGGATAGTTGTAAATCTATCTTTTGACATTGTTCTGGCACTAAACATGTCAAGATATTACGCGCTGTTTCGTCCTTCCGATCTGAATTTGGGCATAAATAATTTGTATGTTGTGTTATTATCTGTTGTTATTGTTTAAAAAATTGTAACATATGTAAAGGACTGTTGCTGTGTAAAGCTGAAGCATGAACAACTAAAACTATTTTTTAATAAGCTACAGACATTAAAAAACTTGTGTGTGCACAGAAAAGAGGGAATTAAACAGTATGAATCACAAATGTGGATCATTGACAGAACTAAACAAGAGCCAGTGAATCAAGAGGTCCCCAAGGAAGCAGCAGTATTTGCGCTTTTTGCAGCAGTGTCATGGATGACCAGTCACTCCACGGATAAGACCTGTCACATTAACTCAGCCAGTCCTTTTGATCTTGAACACCCTTTCCTCTCCATTTACATGAAAAGTTTTTTTCTTTGTGAAAAAGAGGATCCAGAGGGAAGGGAATCTTGTTTTCCTATCTCAAAATATGACTCAAGAGGGAGTCATGTGAGAGTGTACAGTATTTCCCCAAGTATAAGACGCACTTATTTTCCAAAAATATATAATCTAATAACTGTGCATCTTAAACAGAGATAGTAGATTGCTTATGTAAATTTTGATTTTTTAATTTCTGGTCTAAAAACCAGTGTGTTTCATGAAATTATCTTGTACTTGGGGAAAAACAGTAGTTTGTAAGAGAGACAGCATTATCTTTTTTGTGTGTGTGTGTGTGTTCACCAGCTGTAAACTCTATAGGAAAGTTCTAGTTGTTCCACTTTTGGACTATAGTCCTGTTCCAGAACCTGAGTGTTACATGTGCATCCGTTTTACAGATCTGAATAATTTGTATGCAGACTGCTGGTTCTTGCCTCTCAGGCAGATGCACTCTTCAAAGAAAGCTCCCAATTAGTCGACTCTTACGACATGCTTTTGGGTTGGCAGTGGGTCTGTTCTTGTTTTTTTTCTCCCTTTAATAGGGCCCCGGGAACCCACACGGGAAAGACACCATTGTGAGTTCACGTTTGAAATTTCATCTGAGCCAAAAATCGTAGCAAGTGAGGTCTGTCTAAGAGGAGCTGCTGGAGTAAAAGGAAGAGAGAAGAAAATTGAAACTAAAGAAATTGCAAGACTGAAATCAATCATTACAGTTTATTGATGGGCATTTTGAAACAATTCCACTGATGATATTCCTCCATGCCCTTGCTTCAGGTCGTAACGCATTGTCTGCCTCTTCTGCCGTTAATTTTTCCAGTTATCAAGATGTTCTGCAATGCCTGTTTTCTTATTAGATGTCGGAAGAACACGGTTTCTTTCTTATAGTTATGTATAGATACACCACTGCAGCCTGCACATAGGCTGATTCCAAACAAGGAAAAAGATTACTGTTTGTGTGTTTTCATTTCTGTTGCCAATAAGTCTTTACAAAGAATTGACAATTTTAGATCACAGCATGTGTATGAGTGATTATTCTTTTTTTGTTAAATGGCTTTTACTTGCTGCTTCTTTTTGTTCTTTCTCTGTACAGCTACTCAACGTGTCATTTTTATGATCAGTGTTGTACTGTCCAAATTAGTGGGCCAATATAAAAGTCTGATTTGTACTGATGATTTCTGTTGAAGTGTTTTGTTTTATGTTTGGGTTTAATTAGCACCCTAAGTTCTCATGAGGATCATAGATGAGCTGTACCCACACTTCAGGGGGAGAGAATCACAGAGAGCTGTACCCACACCTCAGGGGAGAGGATAATAGATGAGCTGTACCCACACTTCAGGGGGAGAGAATCATAGAGAGCTGTACCCACACCTCAGGGGGAGAGGATAATAGATGAGCAGTACCCACACCTCAGAGGAGAGGATAATAGATGAGCTGTACCCACACTTCAGGGGGAGAGAATCATAGAGAGCTGTACCCACACCTCAGGGGGAGAGGATAATAGATGAGCTGTATCCACACTTCAGGGGGAGAGAATAATAGATGAGCTGTACCCACACTTCAGGGGGAGAGAATCATAGAGAGCTGTACCCACACTTCAGGGGGAGAGAATCATAGAGAGCTGTACCCACACTTCAGGGGGAGAGAATCATAGAGAGCTGTACCCACACCTCAGGGGGAGAGGATCATAGATGAGCAGTACCCACACCTCAGGGGAGAGGATAATAGATGAGCTGTACCCACACTTCAGGGGGAGAGAATCATAGAGAGCTGTACCCACACCTCAGGGGGAGAGAATCATAGAGAGCTGTACCCACACCTCAGGGGGAGAGGATCATAGATGAGCTGTACCCACACCTCAGGGGGAGAGGATCATAGAGAGTTGTACCCACACCTCAGGGGGAGAGGATCATAGACGAGCTGTACCCACACCTCAGGGGGAGAGGATAATAGATGAGCTGTACCCACACTTCAGGGGGAGAGAATCATAGAGAGCTGTACCCACACCTCAGGGGAGAGGATAATCGATGAGCTGTACCCACACTTCAGGGGGAGAGAATCATAGAGAGCTGTACCCACACCTCAGGGGAAGAGGATAATAGATGAGCTGTACCCACACTTCAGGGGGAGAGAATCATAGAGAGCTGTACCCACACCTCAGGAGGAGAGGATAATAGATGAGCTGTACCCACACTTCAGGGGGAGAGAATCATAGAGAGCTGTACTCACACCTCAGGAGGAGAGGATAATAGATGAGCAGTACCCACACCTCAGAGGAGAGGATAATAGATGAGCTGTATCCACACTTCAGGGGGAGAGAATCATAGAGAGCTGTACCCACACCTCAGGGGGAGAGGATAATAGATGAGCTGTATCCACACTTCAGGGGGAGAGAATAATAGATGAGCTGTACCCACACTTCAGGGGGAGAGAATCATAGAGAGCTGTACCCACACTTCAGGGAGAGAGAATCATAGAGAGCTGTACACACACTTCAGGGGGAGAGAATCATAGAGAGCTGTACCCACACCTCAGGGGGAGAGGATCATAGATGAGCAGTACCCACACCTCAGGGGAGAGGATAATAGATGAGCTGTACCCACACTTCAGGGGGAGAGAATCATAGAGAGCTGTACCCACACCTCAGGGGGAGAGAATCATAGAGAGCTGTACCCACACCTCAGGGGGAGAGGATCATAGAGAGCTGTACCCACACCTCAGGGGGAGAGGATCATAGACGAGCTGTACCCACACCTCAGGGGGAGAGGATAATAGATGAGCTGTACCCACACTTCAGGGGGAGAGAATCATAGAGAGCTGTACCCACACCTCAGGGGAGAGGATAATCGATGAGCTGTACCCACACTTCAGGGGGAGAGAATCATAGAGAGCTGTACCTACACCTCAGGGGGAGAGGATCATAGAGAGCTGTACCCACACCTCAGGGGGAGAGGATCATAGACGAGCTGTACCCACACCTCAGGGGGAGAGGATCATAGACGAGCTGTACCCACACATTGTGCACACCTCATAGGGAAACTCAGTGCTGAGGATACAAATGTATACGCTACCAAGGACCCTTTTCCACATCTTTAGGGGTATTGGACTAGACCAGTTGTTGGCAAAATGCTGCTTGCTAGCCGCATGCGGCTCCTTAGCGACTTAAGTGCGGCTCGGCCAGTCGGTCATAAATCGGTTTTTGACTCCAAAAAAAAAACTTTGTTCATGACAGGTTCTTGACAAAAAATTTAACTCTTAAAAAAAATGTTATCGTCCATCTGCTAAATTTTGGCTCTTTCGACTAATGAGTTTGCCGACCACTGGACTAGACCTATATTTTATAGACCAGTCTGTATTCCTACCAGGCTAAAACTAAATCATCACCAGATGATTCGGGTGTGCATGGTAATGAGCGGGCTGATAGACTCGCTGCTGCTGACCCTCTGTGCAGTGAGCTGCATTATATATAATAAAGCAGATGTGGAGAGAATGATTCAGCCGGGAGTGTACAGGGTCAGGACAGTTTTTTTCTAGGGGGGAGGGGGGGGGGATGGGCCAACTTTTAGTCAAATTGC